GCTATTTTTTTTTTTTAAAGGCAGGCCCTGATAAAATCTTGCAAAGGGTCACCATTATGGTGTAAATGTCCCCATGCTGTTCCTGGCAGCTACTGGTTTTACACATGTAAATAGAGACATTTGGAGGCACACCCTTGGCAGTTTTGTGCAAGACTCCGGCCTGCCTTGGTTAAGCTCTCAAACACAGTTTTCTGAGCAGTAAGTAATGGATCATATTCCTAAATACAGGATATGCTGACAGTATACTTTAGACGATGGGTTGGGTGGCGTATCTTTTTTTGTACGCTTGGAGAGCATGTCGAAGGCAAAATCGCGCATTCAGAACTACTGTGTGTGCTCAACTTAATTAGCTCATTAACTTGAATATCTCTTCCTATTAATATGGAATATCTTTAATGCAGATTTTAAAACTGGAAAACCCCCACTCTCATTTGCCTAATTTGGATGTGACAAGCCATACCGCAAAGCTGAACTTGAGTTACTGGTTTTGCACTCTGAGCTTGGCGCTTTAGGTCGTCGGGCCCTTTGCACTGCCACCGCTCCAATCCTTTCCTAGTGTCGGTGGTAATTAGCCAGTCCCCGAAAAACGGGGAAGCGCTGGAAAACCGAGAAGCCTCACATAGCTTTCCCCGCATCTGCGTTGCAGAGCAAATGGCTGACGCTGTAGGTGAAATAACGCTCTAGCCCTAAGTTGGCAGGCTAAAGGCAGTGAAAACGGCCTCGTGCTCTTGTGATGGGTCTCATGGTCAGAGGTTGAGCTGAACTGCACTGCTGGCCTTTGGGTGGTACCAAATCAGGGCTCTCGCCTCTAAAGGCATGCTGCCGCCGTGTTCCCTTTTTAGAATTACTTCGTACAGTAAGATGTCAATGCTGTTTTGCCAATTTTAATACATGAGCAGTTCTGTTACTTAAGATTAAATACACTGCTTGTGAGATTGGAGTCTAAATCAGTTACAGGGGATAACTTGTTTTATGACTGTTAAATATGCAAAATTAACTTTTTGTATATTATTTTTCTCTTGATATATCTTGAATTTACCCTAGTTTTTATGACCTATTTCTTGAATGTACAGCTAAGGCACTTGTTTCCTTTGAGGGAATACATACCTTCTCAGCTGTTAAAGCTAACACATTGCTCAGACGAAGTACTTCTCGGTTTTGAAGAACCTTGGTGTAATGCAAAAAGATCACTAAACCTTTGGGACCTCTTCAGAAGATGATGTGTAACCCTGGAGCGTACCACATACCAACAAAGTAACCAAAATTTTGAAACAGTTTAAACACTGTGAAGTTACGCATTTTTTGAGTTTTGTTTTCCTTGGCTTTAATGGAAACAATCCTCCTCCAGTTAGGTTGTGTTTCCTAAGCGTTGTGATTAACAGCAATAAGCTGTTTCTACTTCATCCCATTTTGAAATGGCATATTTTGAATTGCTGAAAAGTTGCATTGCTGAAAAATTTGTAATGTTAGTAGTGTATTATCCGAGAAGTATTGGGCAAAATATTTTCACAGAAACTCTGCAACTCCAGCGCTAGAAAAACCCTTCACAAATAACGGAGGGGACTTACAGATCCCATTAACCTGTGCCATCCTACACTTTTTTTTGCCTTACTTGACAAATTTTAAACTTTCATGTTGAAAAAATAAGTATCTTCAGTGTTCAGGAGTAGCAGTCAGAATGTAAACTGGTGAGTTGCCACTTCAGCTGCAGCTAGACAGCTGATTTACCTAGATATATCAGGAATGGACAAACCTGTTGGGGGGGGGGGAAAGGGGCTGGGAGAATTCACCCTTGTTAAAAGAATAAGAAAAGTGAATCAATAATACCTCTTTTCTGCCAAAGGGGCTTTAGTAAGGGACAAAAATGGTTTCTACACAGAATCTGTTTGACCTGGAGTAGGATATTAACTAGGTCTCCGTATCAGTTGGCATTTGCATCTGATTTAACTATATGAACTCCAGCATGTATTTTGAACGACTCTAAAAGAACAGCTGCAGAGTAACGGAGCACACCTCTGGTAAAACTTATTACGGAGTCAAACAAACAAACAAAAAATCAAAACCGGATTACTTTTATTTAATGGTAACTCATTTCATTTCTCATAAAGAGGAATGCTGTATCTTAATTTTTTCTTTCTGTGCATGAGTCAGTATTTCATCGACATGAGGGTGAGTGAGCGATTAATCAAACAGCCTCATCCTGGCTACTGGATATTGCAATATTGAGATAAGGGCTTCCCTAGAGACGTTTCTTATAATCTTGTAGCACTTATTGTGGTGAGATCAAGTTACAGCTGGTTTAATGCGATGTAAAACCTATTAAGGCTGACATCACAAATTTTACTAGTTCTGGTGCTGATTACATAACAAATAATTACTCAACATAAAGTGCTGGTGACAGACTGATAGTTTGCTTTGAGATATGAAAGTGAGATACAGGAACCACATCGCAAAAGGAGTTTTGTTTAAACCAGTTGTATTCCATTTTAGATAACAGAAGCTTGCTTCAGGTTAAAGGTCCTTAAATACAATAAAGTATAAAATAATGCTTCATCATTTCCTTCTAATTCACAGCTGACAGTTGTTGATTTGGAAGAAGATATGAGAGGAATTTTGAGTTGACTATTGGTGTGGTTGGAAGGTAACGCTTAGGGTGACAAGCAGCAAACATTTATCCTACTGCTTAGCCCTCTAAGGTTGAGGTACAGTGATGAAAACAAGATTTAGCATCTGAATGTACAAGAATTCCCTCTTTTTGGATGACTAACTAGCTTAGGGTCAAATCCCGTCATGTTCTGTATGGCTGATCAATGCAATAAAAGGATGTAAGGTGACTTCCTTATGCCATGTGCCATGGGTCCCAAGTCACGGGGATGTATTTCACTGTGGTGCTACGTCCTGCCCCCCCCTTCACAACACTCTTGCTGAAGGCTGACGCTCCCGCAGACGGAGTGAGGCAGGGAGGATGTTGATGACTCATTTTCCCTTCATTTTCTTCACAAGCTGTTCCAGTGAAACAATGTGCTGTCTCTCCATCTAAGCTTATCGCAAACAGTTTGACATCAAATTATTTGAGAGTTAATCTCTTTACATTTTTGCATGATTAACAGAACTCTCAAATAATTTGATGTCAATCTCTTTACATTTTTGCATGATTAACAGGAAAAAAAGGCATGGAAAATTCCTCACCTCAAGCGTGTTCTAAAACAATAGCTTGTACCAGGGAAGTCTCATGCCCAGGCTGGCCTCCAGCTACTGTTTCCTAATTCCCTTGCTCCTCTTAGCTCTTGGATTTACAAATATTAAACTTGGAGGCTGACATGATAACCATGAGAATCAAGTCAGTATAGCCCAAATACTGCTATGAGATGAGATGAAGGACCTAGTCATAGAAAAACTTGCTCATTAACTTCATGTGGGATGTGAGGAGGTTTAGATTAATTAATTAGAAAGGGAAGAAGGAAGGAAGGAAGCAGGAATGTGGTAGTTTGTCAGAAATGCTTTATAGCGTTAGCTGAAGCATTCAGAAATCCCCCATTTTCTCTGCTTTCCTTTGGAAAGTTCTTGAACCATCTCCAGAAAAATTTTACTGGGCTTCCACTGCTCCTTCTGTTCCTGCTCCGTAAGCCAAGAACTAGCACTGGCACAGGGGAGTCCAGGCACGAACAAGTAGCTGCGGATCAGCAGGCTTGGGATTTCTCCTGCAGTAAGAGAGTGAATTTAGCCTCTCTCCCAACTAACGTTGGGAGATCTTGTATTCAGAGCTAATTTAAGTTTTCCCTGGAAATGCCTGATTTTCCTATTCTATGGAAATCAAGCGTCCTAGATGCCTAATTGTCATACCTATGTAAGACAGCATAAATTCTTCTGAAGTTAACTAAAAACAAGAATTGGGAGCTCCCCTGCAGCTGAGGAACTCCCTGCAGCGACACCCTAACGTGGAGCTGGATGCCCGCAGTTGCGTGGGTCTTCTCAGAGTTGTGCCTATTTTTTGCAGCAAATGGGTCCTGCTACCAGAATTTACTGCGGGACTTGCCCTGCTGAATGGCTGTTAACGCGAGGACATTTTGTTTCTTGATATCTACAGTTCAGTTTAAACTAGCAGCTGCCACTTCTGCTGCTTTTTTTTAATGCTTGGTTTGATTTTTGATCATCCCTTTCTAATCTTTGGAGCGCGTCTAGTAAATTTAGTAGCGGACTGAGCCTCAGACTCCTCTTAAGAGACTTTCTGTCATGCTGAGGCTCAGCAGTTTTTGGCTGTGAGTACACGTAGAGCTCTGTTACCCTGTGATGCACAAACCAATGGTTCAGGTGTGAGCGCACGCTCGCACGTCCATCAGCCTAGCCCAACGCTACACGGAGTTAATGCTGGCCTTTTGCAGCAAGGGGAGACGGACCATACCTGGTTCAACATAATGTCACAACAGCGCAGACAAATGATAAGGCCCAACAATGAAAACAATCAAAGTTTTTAAATGAATTTGAACATTCTGATTGAGTTTATACAAAATTACCGCTCTTGTATGGCTATGGTATTTTAGAAATCGTACCAGGACCTTTGAGCCAGATTTAACTCACTTTTGAACCATGTTTTCATTGCAAAGGAAACACTGAGCTATCTAACTCCCTAGGTCTTAAATAAAAATTAATGGCATAACAGTAATATTAAACATACATTTTAGAGGAGAGATTTTTCTAGGAAATCTTAATTTTTCATACTTAGGGAACACCAATCATTTGAGCCAAACTTAATTAATCGCTTTTCCTTCCCTTAGAAATGCAGTTTATTCTAGCATATGGTTTGTCGCAAAAGATAAATACTGAAATGTGTAGCGGGAATTATTGTACGAGGCTTTTTATTAATGATACTCAAGTTTTGCTAACAAAAGACGTCAAGGTTCCTGCCCTGGGCAGTTCCTAATCTAAACTGGGAACAGAGTTGGTGGAAGTGGAAGAAATACATCCTCCTTTCTCCCTCCAAAATGAACTTTCCTCCCAATTTTGCTCAGACCGAGTTACAGAATGTGTTTGACGCCGCGCTAATGGCAGCGCTTCCATGCATAAGCGCGACCGGCAAGAAAAGCTCAAGCGAATCTTAACTAATGCTGTTCCTTACTGTGTAGTTCAAGTAACGAGTAACGCCGGGTGACTTTCCCGAGGCACCAGCTACCTGTGATTTACCGAGGCGCGGTACGCCAGCCGTCCGGTGTGAGGTGACATGTCGTCGACCGGGGAGCGGAGGCCCAACCCCGGGCCCCCGCGCCGGCCTCTGCCCTCACCCGCC